CATGTATATCCACTTACATGCTTTGATATGCATGTATATCCACTTACATGCTTTGATATGCATGTATATCCACTTACATGCTTTGATATGCATGTATATCCACTTACATGCTTTGATATGCATGTATATCCACATACACGCTTTGATATGCATGTATATCCACCTACACGCTTTGATATGCATGTATATCCACTTACATGCTTTGATATGCATGTATATTCACATCTCAGTAACACGCTTTGATATGCATGCATATCCACGTACATGCTTTGATATGCATGTAATTTTTCTTTAGTGAATTAGTCATGAATGTTTTTATTTAGGTCACATTTTAGTACATATGGCACTTAAGCATGAAAAAATAAAAAGGTGTGAAATCACTGAAAATTATTAGCAGCCAGAAAATTAATTTATCAGTTTCTAAATACATTTATTGTTGATTTATTTTGGAATTTTTCCATGTGCAAGTATAACATAGCTAGGTATGGAATATAAAAAAATGTCATTGTGTTATTTCTAAACTTTGTTGAGTACTTCTAGAATTTCAATAATTATTTTATAAAATAATGTTGTTGTTTTTTTCAAAATGTTGGGAATGTTTTTAAACAATACTGACTGATTATATCATTCGTATAATTTTTATTCCAGCAAAAAAATTGTCTGAAGAAGAAATAGAAAAGGTATGGATTTTTTTTTTATGATCTGAAAAATCTGTGATTTTAATTTATTTACGATTTAAACATTTTCCTTCAGTATACTTTTAATGTGTACATTTTCTCGTGTTTTTGTAAGGTTAGAAAACAGACTTAAGCTGTAAGTTTATCGTATGACAACTAATGAAATGCATATATAATACAGTCAGAGAGAGAGATAATCGTTTGCCTATAACTATTAAATTTCCCGTTGTTCTATCAAAACAACCAATGGCTTTGTGTGTTTTAGTGCGTGCAGATTTTATGGTGAAAATTTATTGGTTTGTACTTACAGGAAGGTGATCGGGTATTAATTGTTTCATGGTTAGTAGCCTATACAGTCACCTAAGTTTAGTTTTTAATTATTAAATCTTTAATAAGATACTAATTATTAACTTGTTTTGGCTAGTAATCTGCTGTTATCTTCTGGGATGTTTCTGTGTTGATTGTGTCCTCTTAATCAAAGTCTGATGTTTTTACACACAACTTGGTTTAATTTTGAACTGATATACTGAGGGAGGGCAATGAGTCAACATCACCCACTGCCATTTTCATTCTTTTCTGACAAAAAAAAAAGTGGGTTTTGATAACCACCCTTATTATAATGCACCCGTAACCTCAAAGTGCAAAGCACTTTGGTAATGGAACTTAGACCTACAGATCGAGAGTCTGGCAAGTTAACCAATGGGAAACACCCATCCCAAGGACATAATTAAGTCCTTGTTAAATGATAAAAGTTGGAACTACCAGCATCTAATAAAGTTGTGATTTTTTCTTTAAAATAATTTTATTTTGTGTTTTTATAGTACGTGTGGTTGTTCATTTTTAGAACTGCTTAGATATTGGATTTAATACTATTGTGAAGGGAATGATAAATAGTTCATTGCTGTCTACTTATTTACAATCAAGAATTTCTTTTAAACAGGGAATCCTTGTACCAAAAAAGAATTCATAAAATAAAAAAATGTAATTTTAGAGTAACAATATCGTCACTGTATCCATAGAACTAATTTTTATTTTTCATATATAGTAATAGTTCTTAGAACTGTCAGTATTGTTTTATTCACAGCAAGCCAACACTGCTGTTCATGATGAGTACACTAGCAGAGTGTTCAGGACACTTCTCATCCATCCTGATATACAAGCACTTGGTGAAGGCATCGGTAAGCATCAAAATTGTACCTCGTGTAAATTTGATTTGATGCGTTTTCTGTAATTATAGCAGAATTTGTTGCCACTATTATTTTTTAACGATAAATTTTTCTTCATGCAAAATGTTAAGACAATTATATATTGTTGAAAGTTATCAAAAGGTGGATAAGCATGTTGTTGGTATTATAGGATTATTTATATTATACAATATATATTACAACATGGAATATTCTCGTAGCTTTTATTATTAATGTTCATATGAAAGATGTACTGTTATTGAACTTCATCTGAAATATTTAATTATACATAAGTATATTTATATAGCTGTACAGATAGTTTTGTACAAATTTATTAAATTTTAGTAAACTTTTAAGTTCTAAACAAAAATTATTGTAACATCAACTAGCTTTATATGTTTACTTTGCTACCAATCTCTGGGATGTTACAGGCATTAAAAAAGTAAAAAATAATATACTCTTATTATAGTTTGGATATTAACTTGCACCTATGAATAAATGAAGAGATAAAAGAGAGAGAGGTTTAATTTGTTCCAGAAATAACTTATTGAATTATAATCCTGAAAACATTTTTACTTAAGTGAAAATTATATTAGGGTTTGTTTTAGATTAAATACCCTCAGACAAAGATAAGCTGATGATGAAAACATTTTAAATTTTCAGGCCAGTTATTAATCGAACAATCCCAGTCTGTAATCCTCATGCAGCGTGCGGTAGAAAATGTCAGGGAAAAGTTGAATCACAGAATCGACCAGGTATATTACAAGTTTAATATTTCCATTTTATTGTGTAGTTTACTTTTAAATAACTTGTTTTATTTTTCTTCATTTCTGTAAACATGTTTTAAGAGGTGATATAAATGTGTTTTTTGTTAACTTTTTTATTTCTTTTGCTTGGTGTTCATGATGATTAAGAGTGGTCAAGTTCTAGACCACATTATTTTCAATTTAATAACAACATTGTTGTAAGTAAAGCTAGCAGTGATCATTTTTGTTTTTTCAACATTGTTGTAAGTAAAACTAGCAGTGATCATTATTGTTTTTTGCAACATTGTTGTAAGTAATACTAGAAGTGATCATTATTGTTTTTTGCAACATTGTTGTAAGTAAAGCTAGCAGTGATCATTTAACAACACACTCCACTGAAACTGACTTGCTTAGCAGTGAACTCTACAAATATCCAGCTGATAATATTCTTTGTGGATGATTTAATCAACCTTAAAAAACTGTGACTTGTATTAGATTGAGACTGTAAATATTTATGGAAAGAAAAACAAAGTTGCACGTTAAATTGGCTAAGTAAATATGTGAATAAAATTCATAAAAACAATAATTATTTGAAAGTGTTGAAACATATTGTTTAAACCTAAAGGACATACAACAATGTTGCAAAAACCAGGAATTAGTCTCAAGTAATGGTAGTTAGTAGTTACAGGAATTAGTCTCAAGTAATGGTAGTTAGTAGTTTCAGGAATTAGTCTCAAGTAATGGTAGTTAGTAGTTTCAGGAATTAGTCTCAAGTAATGGTAGTTAGTAGTTTCAGGAATTAGTCTCAAGTAATGGTAGTTAGTAGTTTCAGGAATTAGTCTCAGTAATGGTAGTTAGTAGTTTCAGGAATTAGTCTCAAGTAATGGTAGTTATTTCTCCAAAGAATAGACAATAGAATATTTGTATAATCAACTTAAGGCTGCCCCCATTTAGGTTTTCATGATATGTTGTCACAATGACATTCACACATGTGATACTGTAAATAATGTGTTGTAATATTTTCTTCAGCTAAAAAGAAATCTCGGTATCAGCCATCCGATTTTGTCACTAATACAACCATGGGTTCAAGAAAGAGTAAGATATGCACAGGTGAGTTCTCATTGTTTGATGGTGTAAATAATGAAACATTAGCCCCAGACTTTAGCATTGTAAGACCATAAACTTACCACTGTTCCACAAGGGGACACTACTCCGTATGTCAGTCTAAGAGTATATTGTGTAATGTCATGAGATGGTTACTTCTACATGTTAATGGAAGATTAGTAACATTCAAACAAAGATTATAAGACTGTTTCTTGATGGCTATCTGCTGGCAACACCCACTATCAACTCTAAGACTACTAACAGATAACGGGATTCACCATCACAGTTTGGTGCATTACTTCGATATCACAAGGTAGTGGGTATTGCCAGCAGATAACCATCAAGAAACAGTCTTATAATCTTTGTTTGAATGTTACTAATCTTCCATTAACATGTAGAAGTAACCATCTCATGACATTGTGATATCTCCTGTGTACACTTTAATGAGTTGTAACAGTTAGAAAAGTCATGGTTGTGTATTAAGTTTGGTACTCTGAAAAACAATGTCCATATTAATAAAATTTATTTTAATAGAATAAGCAAGTTCTTTAAAAAAAAAACTATTTAATGGAAGTTGCAGTGGATCGGTCTACTAAGAATGTTAACTATAAAGGAACTCTATTTAATGGAAAGTTGCAGTGGATCGGTCTACTAAGAATGTTAACTATAAAGGAACTTATGCTGTTAGAATACGGTCGATCTTGTCATGAAACAAGAATTACTGTAATTCCTGTAATGTTTCATAGTAATACTGTGAGAAGACATGGTTTATTAAAGAAAGTGTGAGTGTTTGTATAATGTTTCACAAAGTTGTGAAAAGATGTAGATCAGTGAAAGAAACTTGTATATAATGTTTTACAGAAGTGTTCTGAATAGGACACATTCATTGTGAAATTATCTTTATAAGAAAATGTTTAAAATTTCTGAGGAATTGTGAATACGCAATCTTTCATCCAATCAAGAAGAAACAGTAATACAGTTCAATGTCTCCATTGGACAAGATGTGCATGCTTGTGAACTTTGTGATTTGGCCATAAAATGTATGATTTAGCTACCCTTTTACAATGAATTGTATTTAAGATTTTGTAAAAATATAGTAAATAAATAAAATTAATAGTGCAAGTTGGATTATTATTAATGATGACCACCATGATTGAATCTCAGAGTAGTTATTTTGTTGACTGTTTCTGTCCACTTATTGTACAATTGAAAACAAAGAATGACAGATTATGATAAACGTACTTTTTGCATTGGTTTTTAATCATAAATGTGAATTGTTTGTATGTAGTCTAACATTTAATGACAGAGTAGGATACTGTATCGATACGGTGCATCAGAGTTCCAGACTTTGCAACACAATCAAGCTACTGGTCAACCAGCCAATGTTAAACAATGTGGTTGTGTTAAAAATCTATAGTAGCATAAAATAGCAACAAATTTTAAAGCAACTGTAAGACAAAAGAAGCCCAAGTCCACAGGAAATATGCAGACTTGTAACTCTTCAATGCATCCACCTTTCATAATGATTAAAAAATATATATCAGTAATGGTGCAGTTGTAACATAGTTTTAACTTGGAGTTCCTTATTGAAACAAAACCAAGTCATGATTGTAGTTTACAGGTAGGGTAAGGAGTAGTGTTGGTGACAAAAGATCTTTTATGTATTGCAGAGACGCAAAGAATTTTCAGAAATCATTAAGCACAGTGAAATAGGAGGAAAAGGGATTGGATTGTGTCTACTGCCTTTTGTGTAGCTGTTGGTGTACATTTAAAAAAATAACTCAAACTAGTTTTAAATCAATTAGCCCACATAATTGGCACTAATGTGTTAGTAGGCTTATCTGCAGAAAGGTTTAGTGTACATGGTTGACACTGAAGTGTAAGTTATTAGGCTTAGCTGCAGACAGGTTTAATGTACATGGTTGACACTGAAGTGTAAGTTATTAGGCTTAGCTGCAGAAATGTTTAGTGTACATGGTTGACACTGAAGTGTTAGTTAGCAGACTTACCTGTAGAAGGGTTTGGTGTACATGATTGACATTAAAGTATTAGTTAGCAGACTTACCTGTAGAAGGGTTTGGTTTACATGATTAACATTAAAGTACTAGTTAGCAGACTTACCTTTAGAAGGGTTTGGTGTACAAAATCGACATTAAAGTGTTAGTTAGGCTTAGCTGCAGAAGGGTTTGGTTTAGATGATTGACATTAAACTATCAGTCAGTAGGTTTAGCTGTAAAAGGGTTTAGTATATACTCAAGATGGCAGAAACATTTAGTAACAGAGCAAAGCAGAAAAACTGCAGTTAATACCATATGTTTTTAGTCTTCTACAAGTTAACTAACACTTCTGAAACCATCTTGTAACTTAGACTTCAGTATGAAGAAGGTTTCACTCTAATGTTCCAAAGTTTGCAGGTATGGAAGTGAATGCTTCATAAAAATACTATTTGGTGGTATAAAGTCTCGTAAACTATCAGTTTATTTTTATGTAATTAATATCATTTGAAAACTTTCATTTGTAGTTAACATACAAATGCTTGGAACAAAACAGTTTTTGTAATATTAACATAAAGTTTGTTTGTTGAAAGATTAATGAAATAATAAAATACTTGAAGTACTTTTTTACCATAAAACCACATGTGGTTTTAACATAAACTTACTTTTAGCTTTCTATTTTATGTTAATGGTATTTAATTTTAAATATAAGAATTACATATTATAGTAAATGATATGTTCTTTAGGTTTTTTTTTTATGTCTTTGTTTTTTGACTGGCAGGAAAGGTTTACTAAAGATCACGAGTGGAATGCACACGAGGAAGCTTTGATCTTAAGTCGTAACCACAACCTCAAACAGGCCACGTATTTTCTCCAACGAGATCTGATATTCATGCAAGAGGTACAAAAAAAAGTTATATTTGTTACAATAAAAAACAAAAAAACCCAAGTTGTGTACTTTTACTGATTACTGTGACATATATACAATTACGTTCATGAACTATTATATTTGAATTTGTCTAAGATTTTCTAAGAAAGTTGTCTGTAATATTTACGTTAAGTTAGTGTAGTGGTTATAGGGCACTGGTGAGTATTTGTTTTTAATATATATATTCAAACAAGATAGATAGAATTTGTAATTTTTTAGCCCATCACCAAATAATAAGGGAGTAAAATTTGTGGTTTTATCTAAAACTATTTTGATTTATTTAGTTAGAATATATATACATTGGGAAAACATTTCAGTACCATATTTTAGCCCGGCATGGCCAGGTGGATAAGGCGCTCGACTCGCAATCTGAGGGTCGTGGGTTCGAAT